TCTGAAGAAAGAATTAGAAAAAGATATGAGAAGATGGAAAGATCTCCCATGCTCATGGCTTGGCAGGATTAACATAGTAAAAATAGCCATCTTACCAAAAGCAATCTACAGATTTAATGCAATTCCCATCAAATTGCCAACACAATTCTTTACAGACCTGGAAAGAAAAATTCTCAACTTCGTATGGAATACTAAGAAACCGAGAATTGCTAAAACAATCCTCTACAATAAAAGATCTTCTGGAGGTATTTCCATCCCTGATCTCAAGCTGTACTATAGAGCAACAGTTATAAATACTGCATGGTACTGGCATAGAAACAGAATGGTGGATCAATGGAATCGAACAGAAGACCCAGAAATAAACCCACACACTTACGGACACCTGATTTTTGACAAAGATGACAAGACCATACAATGGAAAAAAGATAGCATCTTCAACAAATGGTGCTGGTCCAACTGGATGTCTACATGTAGAAAAATGAAAGTAGATCCATACTTATCACCCTGCACAAAACTGAAGTCCAAGTGGATCAAAGACCTCAACATAAAACCAGACACATTAAATAGGCTAGAAAAAAAAAGTGGGGAATACCCTAGAACTCATTGGTACAGGAGAAAACTTCCTGAACAGAACACCAACAGCACAGGCTCTAAGAGCAACAATCAATAAATAGGACCTCATGAAATTGAAAAGCTTCTGTAAAGCAAAGGTCACCGTCATCAAAACAAAGCGACTGCCTACAGATTGGGAAAGAATCATCACCAACCCTTTATCTGACAGAGGACTCATATCCAATATATATAAAGAACTAAACAAGCTGAAAAGCAATAAACCAAGTAATCCACTTAAAAAATGGGGAACAGAGCTAAAGAGAGAATTCTCTGTAGAGGAATATCGAATGGCAGAGAAGCACTTAAAGAAATGCTCAACCTCATTAGCGATTAGGGAAATGCAAATCAACCCTGAGATTTCACCTTACACCCATCAGAATGACCAAGATGAAAAACTCAAGGGACAACACATGCTGGAGAGGTTGTGGAGAAAGGGGAACCCTTCTCCACTGCTGGTGGGAATGTAAACTTGTACAACCACTCTGGAAAGCAATCTGGTGCTTTCTCAGACAACTAGGAATAGCGCTTCCTCAAGATCCAGCCATACCACTCCTAGGCATATACCCAAAAGAGGTGCAAGTACACAAAAAGGACATTTGTTCAACCATGTTTGTAGCAGCTTTATTTGTAATACCCAGAAGCTGGAAACAACCCAGATGCCCCTGAACTGAAGAATGGATGCAGAAATTGTGGTACATCTATACAATGGAGTATTACTCAGCAATGAAAAATAAGGAAATCATGAAATTTGCAGGTAAATGGTGGGACCTGGAAAGGATCATCCTGAGTGAGTTGTCCCAGAAGCAAAAAGACACGCATGGTATATACTCACTCTTATAAACATACAACATAGAATAAACCCACTAAAATCTGTACATCTAAACAAACCAAGCAAAAAAGAGGACCCTAACTAAAATGTCCAATCCCCATCCTGAAAGGCAAAGAGGATGGATATCAGAGGAAGAAAACAGGAAACAACCTCAAAACCTGCTACAGAGGGCCTCTGAAAGCCAGAAGGAAACAGGAAACATCCTTGGAACCTGCCACAGAGGGCCTCTGAAAGCCTCTGCAGTATAGACTGTCAAAGCAGATGCTGAGCCTGATGGACAACTAATGGGCAGAGTGAATGGAATTTTATGTAAGATGTGGGAAATAGTAAGAGCTGGAGGGGACGGGAACTCCACAAGGAGAGCAACAGAACAAGATAATTTGAACACAGGGAACTTCCCAGAGACTCATACTCCAAACAAGGACTATTCGTGGAGATAACCTAGAACCCCTGCACAGATGTAGCCCATGGCAGTTCAGTGTCCAGGTGGGTTACATAGTAATGGGAAGAGGGACTGCCTCTGACATAATCTGATTGGCCTGCTCTTTGATCACCTTCCCCTGAGGGGGGAGCAGTCTTAGCAGGCCACGGTATAGGACAATGCAGCCACTTTTGATGAGAACTGATAGACTAAGATCAGAAAGGAGAGGAGAACCTCCCCTATCAGTGGACTTGGGGAGCGACATGCATGCAGAAAGGGGAGGGAGGGTGGGTTCGTTAGGGGAGGAGGGAGGGGCTTATGGGGGGATACAAAATGAATAAAGTGTAATTAATAAAAAATTAAAAAATATATTATATAAATAAAAAGAAAAAATAAAAAAATATAAAAAAGAAGACAAAGACAAAAAATATTTTTAATTCAAAATTATCAAGGGTTGTTCATAATGACTAGGAAAATTTGATCAAAACCACAATGAGGTGTCACTTCATTCATAAAAAATGATTATCTTAAAAATGGCAGATAAATTCTAGACAGCTTATGAAGAAAGGGGAACTATTACATAACCTAGTAGGAATTGAGACAACTATCATGGAAAAAAAAGGACGATTTCTTGAAAAATTAAATGTAGAATCTCTATGGTGTTTAGAAATCCCACTTCTAAGCATATATCCAATACTTAGAATATGCATATACCCAATGACCCAAGCATACATCATTATGCCAAAGAGATATATACAATATTTAAAGTATCTAAGATGAGAAAATAATTGGTATCTATAAGTAGATTAATATAAAAATGTGTGGCATGTATGTCCCAACACATATATAAAATGCAAGGGCATATTATCTAGACGTGTGAAAGCAGGAAACACTGCCATTTGTGTAAACAAGGACAAGCCAGGGGCCACTGATGCCAAGAACATAAAAACAAATACTAATAATTTCATACAAATGTGCAACTTAAAATTGTCAATTGCAAAAGCAAAATACAGAATATACTAGCCAGAGTTTGGAACCAGCCAAAAGGTGCAAATTTATTCTTACAAGGTGAATAAAATTTGAGGACATATTTTAAGGCTGGCAACCATTATTAATAAGGATGGTGTATTTGAAATTTGCCAAGATACATGTCTTCTTTGTTCTTAACCCAGGATACAAGGAAGTAACTATATGATGAGACAGATGTATCAACTTGATTGATTTCAGTACATTTAACAATGTATTTATATATAGAAAATATTACAATGTACATCTTTAAACAGTGATAACCTAGAACCCCTGAACAGATTTAGCTCATGGCAGCTCAGTTTCCAAGTGAGTTCCCTAGTAAGGAGAACAGGGGTTGTCTCTGACATGAACTCAGGGGCTGGCTCTTTGATCACCTCCCCCTGAGGGGGCAGGCAGCCTTAGCAGGCCACAGAGGAAGATGATGAAGCCAGTCCTGATGAGACCTGATAAGCTAGGGTCAGAGGGAAGGAAAAGAGGACCTCTCCTATCAGTGGACTCGAGGAGGGGCATGGGAAGAGAAGAGGGAGGAAGGATAGGATTGGGAGGGCATAAGGGAGGGGGCTACAGCTGGGATACCAAGCGAATAAAAATAAATTACATTACAAAACTGTGTATTTGTCAATTAAATCTCAATAGACAAATACTAAGAACCCTTCTAAAACACAACATTAGAAAAAAGAAGAAACACTACAATCCCACAATTTAAACAGCCTTCCTGACTCTGCAATCTTCTTGTCACCTCTAGGTGAGCATTGTAACAGGCTCACCAGTTCTTCAGTGCTTGCGGACTGCTGTACTTCATTTCATCAATGTAGGATGAGAACATTGTCTGCAGCCTCCTACACTAACTTACATATTGTGAAAACCTTTCTAAGTGGTGTTAAGTATATACTTTTGATGCATTTTATTTTTGTAATGGCTGGATTGAGTATAATGAAACACGTACAAAGTCAATTGTTGCATTCATAAGCTTGGAGTGAGAAACATGCTATGGTAGACTTTTGTGATAAAAAAAAAAACTGGGAGTCAACAACATATAATAAAGCTATTAACTTTGATCAGCACATCTAGGAAGCATAATGAAGCAGAGAAATGGGCACTAACCAGAGACTGATAAATTGGTATGTTAGGAAGTTATGGAACTCAAAGGTTGGAACCAGCACATAAAATAGAAAATGTTCCATAAGCTACTTCTTAGAACCAGAACTTTATGTCAGTGTATAATGTCCTACAGCAATGAAAAATACTGAGCAAATTTATTGTGCTGTGGTGTACTGCAAAGTCAAATATTTGTTAAAATGATACCTTTACCACCACCGGTAGCTAGAGGTAAATCCTAGAAAGGTACCATGCATAGTTAATTTTTGGGGGGGGAGGCTAGGAAATCATTGTTAGGACACATAGACATCAATAGAACTAAAATGAAGCTCTTGACTCTGACATAAAAATAACAGCTGGAGTCAGGAGATGCTAACACACAGAGCATCTAACGCCCACCACTAGCCTCTCCTCCTGAAGAAATAATATGCTCAATTCCACAAATCTGTTTCCATTTTCCCAAAATTATAAAAGATATACTCATATCCATTCACCATTGCACACACTAATCTCAATAATTTTACTTTAGCTAACACATGCTAGATATTATGTTCCTCAGCATTAGAAATTCAAAAACCCATAATTTTCTGGACTGCATTCTTGTTATAGTATGTCTTTTCCACCTAACTGGCTGAAACACTGTAAATGTTCAATAAACATACGTTAAATCAGTACATTACACCAGATATTTAGCATTCATATAAATATGGATATATAATGTGTATTATACCACATTAGAATTTAAACATAGAGAAGCCATCTAATTAGGTATTCAAGATTTTTTTAGAAAGATTAATAATTGAATCAATGAAATTCCATAGGAAAAATGTTACTTACAAGAAAAATGTATTTCTGACATGTGATATTAGAAATACACTAATAACACAGGAGTAGAATAGCTCTAAAGATGGAGTTACATAAGATGATGACCTTCAAAACTACATTATCCTGTATAGCTTTAACAAAAACTGTTCCATTGCACACATTATAATGATTAAAAAAATATCCTACCAATAACGAGGAGCTACAGGATGTGGAACAGCTGGGACTCATTCACGGCTGGTGGGAAGGAAAATGGCGCAGACAGTTAGTAAAATAGTTGCATGATATTGGCACAATACATACATAAATATAGCATCTGATCCTTGGGCATTTACCCTTGAGAAACAAAAAAACTAGTTTTAACATAAAATATATGTGTGAAAATTTGTAGGAGTTCAATTCATAATTGTTTCAAATGGAAAGCTGCAACTGCCTTTCTTGAAAGCATGGCTAAATATTCCAAGGTCTTTCCTAACAGTGAAATGCTACTCAGCAATCAAAATGGTAGAAACTTTTGGCGCATTTGACAAACTGCTGAATTAAGTAAGCCTTTCTTAATAGGTTCCGTGCTACAATTTTTCATAATGACAAATCCATGGTGATAAGAAGAGAACTGTAGTTGTCTGGGCTCAGTGGTGGGATTAAGAATAGAGATGCTCTTTGATCTCCCCCCCCCTTCAAGGGAGGAGCAGCCCTTCTAGGCCACAGAGGAGGACTTTGCAGCCAGTCCTGAAGATACCTGAGGATAGAGGCCCTCCCCATCACTGGACTTGGAAAGGGGCTGGGAGGAGATGAGAGAGGGAGGGTGAGATTGGGAGGGAATGAGGGAGCAGGATACAGCTGGGATACAGAGTTAATAGAATGTAACTAATAATAAAAATAAAAAATGCGAGTTGTGAGTTCTTTGGGGAAAAAGAACTGTTTTGTATCTTGACAGTCATGGTGGTTACTGTGTGAATATACACATGCTGAATTTTAAAGAACATTAAATGACTACTAAGTGATTTCTGAAGTGAACAGAAATATTAAACATCTTCAGGAAACAAAAGGATCAACAGATAGCATATTGAATTTCTGAGGAAATATGAGCTTCAAATAAGATCATGACTCTCCACCAACAAGATAAACTGGTAAGATGTAAAACAGCTGAAGAGGAAACCTCCATTAATTTACCATCACTTAACCAAAGTGAATATTCTGAAAAGAAGTCTTTGCTTCTTCAAACTGTAGTCTCTCGACGTTTATTACAGTCATTATTGCTTGTGAATAAAGGATAATATCAGTGTTTGGATTTTCTAAATACATCAGGTCTCAACAGCAAAGATGAGACCGCTCTTCAAACTAATAAATTATCCTAGCTCATAATTCTTGTAATGTTTCTTCCAAAGTATGCAGTTCAGTTGGTCTTTTACACTATGCAATCAATTTGTACATCCACTAAAACTTCTCAAAAATTTCAATGCACTACACCCAGGAAAAACAAAAGCAAACAAAACAAAAATGTAACATAACATAAAACTTGCTAGTTTAACTGTTTTTAGTTGTATGATCATTAAGTATAGTCACATTGTCATGCAACCATCATAAGCATCCATGTCCATTTTTTTGGTAACTGTCCTGAACTAAATCTTTGTAATCATACATGAAAACATCCCTTTCCCAAACCCAGTTTTCAGAAATCTCTATTCTACCTCTTTTCTAGTAAATGTGAGCATGTTTTTGCTATGTACATGGAATCATCAAGGAATTTGCCCTTGCCTGGCTGGCTCCCATGTTGTGCACTTATTTAGCATGCTGTTTTGTGTTTCACTCATGTTCTGCAGCATTTGGGAGAATTTCGTTTCTGCTTAGGACTAAATGATGTCCTAGTGTGTACCACCATCTACCATCTGTTTGTCCATAGGTGGACCGACCTGTGGGTGGTCTGTTGCTACATCTGGCTGTCAAATGTATCATCTTTTGGTATCAATTCTATATGCCTTTTGGCACTGCCACTTTCCATGTTTTCAAGACTGATCAGATTCAAGGCATAGGTGGACTCAGATATTGTTGAAAAACATCAACTTCTATGGCTCAGAAATAAATGAAAATGGCAAATATATACATGCCATTACTATGTTATGTATGTTTTGAATTGTACCTTCTCACTTTAGCATATAAAGGTTCTTTCTTATATCATTAAAATATCTTCAGAAATATGAATTTTTCCTAGTAACTTTTTTGTCATCTTGCTAGCTAGAGTTCCTCTTATCAAGACAGTATACAGGAAGGACTGCACAACACAAACATGATGAACAAGTCTTCTCAATGGAAAGAACACTGCAAAGAACTATAGCCTTAGGGGATCCTGCAAGATCAGACACTCCCTGAATTATTAGTTAACACAACTTTCACAAAAACATAGACTTTCCCACAACTGCTAATGGTGACTTCCGAGCCACCTTCATCTGTATTGAAAGAGAGGATAGCGATCTGGCTAGAACCAAGCAGATCCACTTACAGTAGGTTGCCTGCAGAACCAGAAGTGTAACATAAGGAGACTGTTCTGTATCAGCCACCTTTCCCTACCCTCTGTCCTTCTCTTATCTGGAAGAAAGGATGCTCTTTCTCTCCTCCTCCTTCCTCCGTCCTTCAATTTCCTACTTCTCTCTTTCTGTCCCCCTTCTTTCCTTTTTCTTGAAAACTAAATATAACTTGCTATAACATGGAAATGAAGCCTATGTTTTTATCATCAGTTATGGTCACTGTGATAAAACTTTGCACTTTCAGATTAGCAGACACCTGTCCTCTACCCATACAAGTTAGTTATGGAAAGGATGTAGAATGTGACCACTCTGAAACATAGTCCCTCAAATTATACAGTTCCTTCTTGCCTAATTCTGACTCAGATGATCTAATATTTCCCCTCAAGTTCATAAATTGGGGGGTCTTTGATCCTATTTGGAAGTACCCCACCTTCAGTTACACAGCAGCCTGATGATTTTCTGGTAGAAATATAATCTATGTTTAATATTTTAGATATTTTGCATTTTCTGCTTTTATTTATCAATTAATGAGAGACATAAAGGATGCCAAAAACTCCAGAAAAATTTACAGCAGGAAGAGTACGAAAAGATTGGTCCAGCAAAAACATTAGAAATGAGTAGGGACATGAACTGGCCTAGGCTTCAGAGGACCACTGAGAGCTGCTGCAGAGACAATGGCAGGGAGACACTGGGAGTGGCTGCAGTGGAGAGATGATCTATGCACAAGGAAATGACTAGCAATTGTCATGTTGTCATGCTCACTGAATAAGTTATATGGTCAGGAAAATATGCCAAGGAAGCAAATTAATTTGCTATACTTTTGATTGGTCAACTATTAGTTTTTGTGAATGAAGAAAAACTCAGCTTAACAGATACATGTTCTCATGTACATGAATACACACATGTACTTCAGTCTAAACAGTTATGAATGTTTTTTTTTTAATGTGAGAGAAACTGCTCAAAGAATTTATAGTAGTATCCTTTTAAAAAAAGGGTTTAAGAGAAGTAATATCTCATTGCAATGCAGCAACTGTTTCCAATGCATGAACAACTCTTAGGAGCAACAGTGTTTCATTACATGGCATACTAAAATCCCAGGGGATTTTTAAACCACTAAAGCTCAGAGCGCTTACTCCTGAGACTTCTATGTGACGTCTACTTCTACTTGTACCCGTGATGTTTATAAGCCATCCTCACTCTACAGAACTGTAGGAGAGCAACAGAACCAGAAAATTTGAACACAGGGATCTTCCCAGAGACTCATACTCCAACCAAGTACCAGGCATGGAGATAACCTAGAACCCCTGCACAGATGTAGTCCACGGCAGTTTAGTGTACAAGTGGGTTACATAGTAATGGGAAGAGGGACTGCCTCTGACATAATCTGATTGGCTTGCTCTTTGATCACCTCCCCCTGAAGGGGGAACAGCCTTACCAGGCCACAGAAGAGGACAATTCAGCCACTCCTGATGTGATCTGATAGACTAAGATCAGAAGGAAGGAGAGGAGGACCTCCCCTATCAGTGGACTTGGGGAGGGGCATGCCTGAAGAAAAGGGAGAAAGGATGGGACCAGAAGGGGAGGAGGGAAGGGCTTATGGGGGGATACAAAGTGAATAAAGTGTAATTAATAAAAAAAGAAAAAAAAACAGAACTCTAAACACTTCAATTATATCATTTGACTTTATCCAGTCACACAGTGTGTAAGATAATGGAAAGTGCCCTCTGTAGACAAGGAGGACTCTTAAGACAACACTGTTGGGCAAGGCTGAGTCAAGTCTCCAGACAGTGTGCTCATACTATGCTTTCAATCACAATTGTTCCCTTCTAAGTGGTAACTGTGTCATGATGATGTACACAGCATTACATTGTCATTGTCCCATAGAGTTCGCTAGTGACAGTTGTTACTCAACACAATAACTTTTCATGTTGTGCCAAATATTTGTCCATTTCCACTATGGTCTGGGGTATAAAACTTCATTGGCACATCTTTCTAGGTTAGGTTAGTCTAAGTTAACTTATTCTGCCAGCCAGGGTTTACTTCAAGCTCTGGAGTCCATTCTTACCAGCCCTGATTCATACGAATTAAAGCAAACAAAAATCCACAATGTTGATAGCAAAAATCTTGTTATACAAGTATTGATTACTGATCAAAAAATTTAATCCTACAGTATTTAAATTATTTAAGGAAAGAACAATTTAGAAAAAGCATAAACATAGTTAAGCAAAATTTGTATGGCTAAATTGGTACATTTGACACAAAGTAAAAGGCCATGTTAAACATCTAGATATTCTAATTCTAGGTACCGATAGTATCCAATTTATTTCTTTGAATGCCTTTGGAGCAATTACGGGTAAGAGTTTATAGCTTCAAGTTTCTGCATGAGAAAAAAACCAACTTCATTCTGCCTTCTGGACTCATGGTCCCCATGAAGAATCAGGCTTCAGCATGGCCCCATTAGTCTCTCCAGGCTGACTCAGAAAGGTGCTTTCAGATCGCCTTGTGGGACGCTGGGGGCCACAGTTAAAGCCAATGTGGGACAACCTGAACTGAAATGTAGATCTGAACTTCTTATGACGACACATGTGCCTAATTTCCTGGAAATTCGGTGTTTCAAAGGTCCAGAATGTCCCTTCAGAATTGCTTCTCTTCAGTTTTGAATAGGAAAGATAAACTGCCTTCCTCTTAACAAAGCTTTTAACCTCCATACCT